CGCAAACTCCGGACGGTTCCACTCTCTGCGTCCACTGACACTAATGATTTCACGGCGAGGGTGCCTGGCGGGGGAGGCACTAGCGCGTATCTCACGCGGGCGTTTTCTCCCGCRTCAGGGTCCGTAGCACTGAGGCGGCCCAAACTCCTCCCCGCGGGCTCGTTTTCACTCATCATCATGGTGTAAATGGCCTGGGTGAAGGTGGGTGCATTGTCGTTCACATCCAAGAGCCGCAGGAACAGAGCCTTGGACGCCGACAGGGCGGGGGAGCCCTCGTCACGGGCTCGCACTGTTACGTTGTACTCTGCCACCTGCTCTCGGTCCAGTGTCTCTGATGTCACCAGTGCGTACGCGTCTGCTGCCAGCAACGTGATCCTGAAGGGCTGCTCGCCTATCAGCTCGCAGGTCGTCCTGCCATTGTCCCCCGAGTCCCGGTCCCGCACGTTGAAGAGGGCAACCACCGTGCTGGGCGGGGCGGCTTCGGAGAGGGTGCTAGTGAGAGAGGTGATGATCACCTCGGGGGCATTATCGTTCACGTCCTTCACCTGCACCTCCACCTTGCAATGCGCGGACAGGCCCCCTCCGTCTGAGGCCTGGATGTCTATCTCGTAGGTCTTTGTTTCTTCATAATCCAAAGGCTTTTTAAGTCGGATCTGACCCGTCTCTGCATTTATTTTAAACGTCTCGAAATTTTCCTCTGAATTTTGAACTATGGAATAGCTTATTTCTCCGTTAGTGCCTGAGTCTAAATCGCTAGCAGACACTACCACCACTATGGTATCCTGTGAGYTATTTTCCATTACGGAGACTTTATACAGACTCCGAGTAAATACCGGGATGTTGTCATTTATATCCAGGACCAGGACGCGGATTAAGGCTGTACCAGAGCGYGGTGGAGTCCCACCATCCACAGCCGTGATGCTGAAAGCGATTTCTKCCTGCTGCTCCCGGTCCAGAGCTCGATCCAACACCAGCTCGGCATATCTCCTGCCATCACTCCGCTGCCGGGTGTAGACAAGGAAATACTCGTTTGAGCTGATGCTATAATGCTGAAGACTATTGTTCCCCACATCTGGATCCTGAGCGCTTTCCAACAAAAACCGAGTCCCCGGCATTGTCGATTCCGAGATTTTTAAAGCGATCTCTTTATTTAGGAACACAGGAGCATGATCATTTATGTCAGTGAGTCTTACCTCAGCTCGGAAGGATTGCAATGGGTTCTCCARCAGCACCTCGAAACGCACCAAGCAAGGCTCGCTCTGTCCGCACAGCTCTTCCCGGTCCATTTGCTCTTTCACCACCAAATCCCCGGTGTGATGATTCAGCTGAAAATACTGCTTTTCTCCTTCAGGAACGAGTCGAGCCTGACGAACCAATAATTCCTCACCGGTTAGTCCCAGATCCTTAGCGATATTCGCCACAAAAGAGCCTCTCTCCGCCTCTTCGGGCACCGAGTACTGAGCGGTTTCTGCTCTCATCCCCGAGACGCAGAGAAGGATCAGAGCCACCGCTAGCCCCGAGAGCAGTTCCTCTCTGTTCCTCATGTTCATTCCCTTCTAGCGACCCAGTCTTCTCTCCTGTGGGCAGGAGGAAGCTGATGATACAGCCTCCCGACCCCCGAACGGAGCAGCCGAGATGGTGCAGTCCCGCCCGAATCGCGGGGGCGGTGGAGTTGCGAGCTGCGCGGAGCTCCCGCGGTCAGCAGCGGCACCAGGCGGCCGATGTGTAGCAGGATGCTACAGAAGATTTACCGGAGCAAAGCCTGAAAAGCAGAGATTAACGCTCCATTTCTCTCTTCCGAGGTCAAACCATACCGATTTAACTGTCTGTACAACCCTATTCAAAGTACGGACGCCAGTTGCATTAGCAATGACTCTGTTTGCCTTCCATTTCAAAACGAGATTTATTTAAAGCTGGATTGTTCCCTTTGTTTTGGTTCCGACCCTCCCCCACTGTGAACACCTCGGATAAATAACTTTCCAGCTGTTTAGCTAAAAGAGCTGCGTGCTGTTGCAGGGCTCCAACAACCAGGTGARCTGGTCCATTAATCATTGCAGCTATCGCCGCAATCATTCTCGGGATGGACCGAGATTGCTCCCCCAGTTCAAGACCTCTCTTGCTGGGAGCCTTCGGGATTAAGCTGGGGCAGCATCTCTTGGATCTCAGCTTGGCTCAGAAAAGCCCTCTCCGCCTTGCTCTGGATTCTGAGACCGTCCTATTTTCCTGGTCGTTCTGATACCCCCTGCATAAAAGCCACTCCAGATAGACGGTTCTATTCCCGAAATTCTGCCCTTGGGTTTGCTATTTCTTTGGCGATGGAAGTGGCAAGTCTCGAGACAGAACACTCACCCGAGGGTGTTCAAAGTAGGTTTTATTGTTCTCTGTCATTACGTATTTGACTCCTTAAAATGTGTCAACAACAGGAAATATCACATTACTTTATAGATTAATACCGATTGATGAAAGAAAGAGAAAACAGAAAGCTTGACACCCTATATTCTACAGTGCCCTAAATTAATTGCAAACGGTTTCGTCTATTTTACTGTAAGACTAAAAGCAGTACTTTTAATTATCTTAATTTTTTTTAAAAAATTGCGAAATGGTAACTTTAACTTTACTTTGTGGAAAAAGAGAAAGAAAGAAAGAAAGAATACACGGCTCAAAGTCCACTCTTTACAGTAAGGAGAACGTGTAAACTCCAAGTCAAGTATGCAAAGTGTGCCAGTGTCAGCAGTTACTAATTTAAAGAGATCTGCTTRTTATGTAAGAAATCCCTTTGCAAGCACCACTTGAATTTGCTTARCATCTGTTTCACCTGGTGTTGAACACAGGGCAGAAAATTAAGATATTATTACAAAGCTCTCTCCATAAAAACAAGTAAATGAACAAATAAAACAAAAATAAAACCCACAGAGAAGGTAGTGTAGCCAAAATGTTAAAGATCTGCTGCCAGTTTTCAGTATTTCCCGTAGTATGTACAAGCAGCAGCAGTCTCACATTCATACATTATTTTGTAATCAACATGCAACACAGTTCTGCTCCATCTACACCACAATTACAAAATATCTACATGAATGAASTACTGCTCAAGGGGATAGCATTCTCACAGAGAAGTCTTGATCTCCCTGGTAGGTGTTTGGTTTCTTTCTCTGTGAGGACAGACAAACTTGACTTTCTCTTCACTTATTGATGGGCAAGCCAAGGATTTTGATCAGAAGTGACATTTAGCTCCAGCTCCCTATTTGCAGGGCAAACTGCATCTGCAGCCCTGGGCCCCATCTSTTCAGAGAGGGGAGCTCTGCCCTGCAAAAAAAACAGATAGATCGGTTGTCATTTGGGTGTTGAAGGAAAGCGGGCATCATGGAGAAGCCTAGAGGGTGCCTTACACCACCCCTCTGTACCCAGAGCCAAAACGAAGGTGAGACCTGATGGGTCTCTGCCCTAAGTGGAGAATACCTAAGTCAGAAGCCATCCTTCACAAAGGAACTTTTGCAAAACTTTTAGGAGTCCGAAGGAGTAACACAAAATTGTAAGAGCCCCAAACAAAAACCACTTTCTCACAAACTGTAAATGTGGTTTAATGTTGATATGTCAAGAAAGGTCCTTGTCTCCCCTGAGGCTATTGTGGTTCTGACAACCTGCAGTAAAGTGAGCCCAACTCATCAGTAGTTATGAAATATTAACTGACCCTAAGAGGGTGTTTGTATTTTTCAACCTTATATATATGTTCATCATCCAGTCTACTGTGAAGTGCTAGATGGATCCTTGRAAACTCTCCATGGAGTCCCCACGGAATCCCATATTAAGAGGTGACTGGCTCTGATAACCACACTTTTCTGACCAATAGCGTTCATACAAGTCACAAAAATTTAAGGGCATTTAATGGCAGAGGTCCCCACCTCGGTAGCCTCCAGCAGCTTGTAAGACAGCTTGAGTTCAGCACTGCCGCTTAAGAACAGCGCTTGGCAGCACCGAGCACCAGTTCCTAACGGCAGTGCAGGGGACATGGCTGGTGACACCGCTTTGTGCAGTGTCCCTGCAGTCCCGTCTGACTCTGGACAGGACCACTACATTCCTGTTACTGCCATCTCCAGGAAGMTGTGTCCCCAGGAGCGGTGTCACTGCTGCTCCAGGTGTCTAAGGGCTCTACGCCGTGTATGGGCAGGACCCACTATGGAGACACATCTTTACTTCTCAGCCTCACATTCCATAGCTGCTCCCTTTTGCAGTAACACCAAGGAATTGATCTAACACAAACAGCACAGATGTGGGTGTAGCTGCCCAGAGAGGTGGGAGGTGCCCCATCCCTGGAAACATCCAAGGTCAGGTTGGATGGGGCTCTGAGCAACCTGGTCTAGTTGAAAGGTATCCATGCTCACAGCATGAGAGTTGGGACTTGACAGCTTTCAAAGGTCCATTCCAACTCCAACTGTTCTCTACGTCTGTGATGCAGTTAGTCTGCATTTGGGGAGTAGCTGAGTCCTGCTGGATCCTCCAGCGGCTCTGGGACCCCTCTATCATCTCCTCCCAGCCCAGGAACTCCTCCACTAGCAATTCTGCAACTTCAATAGTCCTTGCTGTCAGGATGTGACACACACACACACACACACACACACACACACACACACACACGCACCCTTCCCGATCGCCTCATCTCTATCTGTCTCTCACCTGTGCGGTCCAGTCGCCTTCATCCCCGAGGTTTGCAGCATCCTGCGAGCACACCGAGCTCCGCTGTTCTCCCGGCCCGGGGGGCAGCCCGGCGGGAAAGCAGGGRAAGAGGGGCCTGAGGAAACGGAACTCGCTGTTGACGGTCCCGGCGGCGAAGCAGACGTCGTACACGTAGCTGCGGGGCAGGGAGCCCGCGGTGCTTYCCGTGGCGGTTGTCGGGAACGTGGGCAAGGTCTCCGCCTCGCTCCGCCTGGCCTGCCKCACCTTCGCTATCACGGCGGCCACGGCAGTGGCGAGGAACAGCGCCGACACGCAGGCGAGGGAGGCGATGAGGTAAAGAGTGAGCGGCCCGTCGGGGTCGGCGGCCGGTGCCACCTCGTTCACCTGCAAATGAGCTTCGGAGAAGCCGTCTACCAGTGCCACGGCGAGGGTGGCAGTGGCWGAGCGCGATGGCTGTCCGCGATCCCGCACCAGCACGATGAGCCTCTGCCGGGGCGCGTCCCTCTCTGTCACGGCCCGCGCCGTGCGCACCTCGCCGCTGTGCAGCCCCACGCGGAACAGCCCCGGCTCCGTGGCCTTGGCCAGCTCGTACGACAGCCACGCGTTCTGGCCCGCGTCCGCGTCCACCGCCACCACCTTGGCCACCAGGTAGCCGGACGGCGCCCAGCGCGGCACCAGCTCTCCTGCAGCGCTGCTGTCGGGGGGCGGGTGCAGCAGCACGGGCGCGTTATCGTTCTCGTCCCTCACGACCACGCGTAGCACGGCCTGGGCGCTGAGCGGCGGGGAGCCGCCATCAGCTGCGCGCACTGTYACYTCGAAGGAGCGTACCTTCTCATAGTCCAGCGGGCGGAGGATATAAACGTCGCCATTTTCAGCGTTGACTGACACTTCGGGCTGCTCTTTGCCCTCCTGCCGCACTAGCGCGTAGCTTACGCGGGCATTTTTCCCTGCATCGGCGTCCGTGGCTTTCATGCTGCCGATCCGGAGCATGGGGCTGTTGTTCTCCGTGACCGACATGGTGTAAACCTCCTGGGTAAACTCCGGGGGATTGTCGTTCACRTCCGATATCTGCACGAAGATGTTTTTCCGAGAGCTCAGCCGTGTCGTGCCCCAGTCCATGGCTGTGATGGTGATGTTATACTCGGCCGTCCTCTCCCTGTCCAGAGCCGCGTTTGTTCTCAGTTCGTAGTAATTATCAAAAGTGGGGGTGAGACTGAATGGCAAGTCCCCGTCCATGGAACACTCMGTCCTGCCGTTGTCCCCGGAGTCCCGGTCCCGCACGCTGAACAGAGCCACCACGGTGCGTGGCGGGGCGTCCTCGGGAATGGAGGCGGTGAGGGAGGTGAGCGCTATCTCCGGGGCGTTGTCATTCACGTCCAGGACCTCCACCTGCACTTTGCAATGCGCAGACAATTCTCCGCCGTCCGTGGCTTTCACCACCATACTGTGGGTTTTTGCTTCCTCGAAATCCAGGTTGCCCGAGACTCGTATTTCACCGGTAGCCGGGTTCAGCTGGAAGAGCTGCCGGGATCGCTCCGATGTCTGGGTAAAGGCATAACGCACTTCCCCGTAGGACCCTTCGTCGGGATCCGCGGCCGTGACTCTGACCACCAGCTGCTCCAGGGGGCTGTTCTCAGCCAGGCGCACCTCATAGATCTCCCTTTCAAAAACCGGGATGTTGTCATTAGCATCCACCACCACGATCCGGACCTGAGCCGTGCCCGACCTGGGTGGCGAGCCCCCATCGGTGGCGGTGAGAAGCAAATTCAGCTCTCCCTGCTCTTCACGATCGAGCTGGCGCTGTAGAATAAGTTCCACATATTTTATTCCGTCTTTCCCTGTTCCAGTAGCGAGGGAGAAATGAGGATTGGGCCCGAGGCTGTAGTTCTGCAAACCGTTAGTGCCYACGTCCTTGTCCTGGGCGCTTTCCAGGGGGAAACGGGACCCAGGAGATGCTGTTTCTAGAATTTTTAAAACCATCTCCTTCTCCGGGAACAAGGGTGAATTGTCATTTACGTCACGAACTTCCACCTCCCCTCGCATAAGCTGCAATGGATTTTCAAAGAATATCTTAAAGGCGAGAGTGCAGGTATCGCTCTGYGGACAGATCTCCTCTCGGTCCAGCGACTCCTTTGCCGTCAGGACTCCGGTGTTTTGATTGAGTCGGAAAAGCTGCTCCTTCCCATCGGACACAACGCGAGCCTTGCGAGCCGCAAGCTGGCTCAGAGGAACACCCAGRTCCTTTGCGATATTGGCGACAAAGGAGTCCCTCTCCATTTCCTCCGATAGAGAATAGCGGAGGGTTTCAGCCCCGCTCTGACACACGCAAAAGCACAGAATAAACAAGATCACTTGCCTCTTGCTGTCTGCACTCCGTCTCCCACAAGCGATCACCCTCCAGAAAAGCCATCCACCGTCCTCCGCGGCTCCCAGCATTTTGTAATAATCTCAGAAGAAGAGAGGTGGGGGCCAGCAATCCTGGGGAGAGGGACTCTGGAAGCCCCCGAGCGCTCCGACTCCTTACCGAGCCGCTCAGCTCCCACGATTTTTTGTCTCCCTGTGTCTGCAAACGCGGGGCGGRCAAATGAACACTCCGGTCCGCGGTCAACATCCCCACCCAGCGTCGAAAGGGGGAATATTTCCTCTCATTAGGGGCTGCGCTGCTGKTTCGGGGTTTGCTTCTTGAATCCGCACTCTCTGTGCCAAAGCGATGAAAACAGGCGCGGTGTAAATGCTCTCCTCCCTCGGAAATGGGATCCAGCCCACACACAGAGCTGCGGTGGGTATTACATCCCAGCTCGCAACCACGAGCTCTTCATACACAGCTTTTGGTTTGGATGTGTAGACGTGGCAAGATCACTGCCATAGAAGAGATTTTCCTTCTTTTCTCCACTTGTTAATCAGCACAGGACGATTAGCAAGTGTGGCGAGTCAGAAAACCTAATGAAAAGGAGGGTTGGTGCCGGAGAGCTGACAAGGAAATGKTCCCTGGGAAAACACTTCAGGGTAYCTTACTACCCCAGTAGGATGACAATGCTGTTCTAGGACCCATCATCCTAATTTTTATTTTTCTCTTCCTGAGTGTCACACCTCGCCCGACTTTCACACTTTTCTGTTAAAAAGAGGTTAAACTTGGAGTTTTCTATCTTCCTGAGGATATTTGGCCAACAACCAGTTACTGCAAAAGCCAAGGAAACAAGCAGGAAGCTCCTAAGTTAATGTATCCTCGATACACAAACACTAACGAGGAGCTAACGGAGACAATGGCAAAGATAAGGCTCTAATCACACTAATTAGTGGGCCATTAAAGGGATCATCGAAGCGTAAACGCCAGAGGTTCAGCAAGAAACACTGCAAACGATAAAGGAAAAAAAAAAAGTTCCAAAGGTTCTCACGGATTATCAGAAAAAGTGTTACAGAAGAGAAGACACCGATGATTAGGTGCTTGAGGGGGGCTCCAGGAAATTGCAAAGCTTATTATGAGATGATTTGAGGCACAATCAAACTCGCTAAGGGGCAGATGTCAAGAGCAGACCTGTTAGGAGCAACCGTGGGAAAACGGAGGTGGAAGGGGATACCGAGGGGTTCTGAACACAGTCTGGTGCTGTGAGGCAGGATCCGTGCCGAAAACCGGATAAAGACTGGATAAACCCCTGCCGCTCAGGCAGTCATGGCTGGYCCCGAAGACAGACTTACATCTCCACTGCCTCTGCGACGAATGCACGCACTGTGCTGAGGATGTGCACAGCTGCCTTTGAGCCCAGCCCAACCTCTCTSTTATAGAATGAAAAAATGAAGGAAAAAACAAAATATAGCTTGCACTATTCACCTGTGCCTCATTATAATATGAATAATAATTCATATTATACTATAAAAAGAACTACGATTAAAAATTATCATTATAAAGTATCATAACGTCATCGGTTTTGGCACTTTTCCTTTAATTTCCTAGATGCTTTCCTTTTATTTTTGTTTGCTAAAATGAGTGACGCTGTCAATACTCAAGAGGTCAAGTCCTAGAAATTCGCTGATGTCATCATTTGTTTTAAAATAAAAGCTTCGTGACTCTGTCAGTAGGAGAAAGAAACAACTAGGGTTGACTTTAGGATTCCCCAAAACTTAAGTCGCTAAAAGATCTTGCACGAATGAAACCATTTTCGGTAACCTTCTCTTACCGCTCCTTGACTCGATAAGATGCTATAAGATCTAAAAGACTAATTTACAACAAAGGGCAATTCCTCCGTTCTTTCTTWCCAGTGACCTGTCCGTCTCTCGAGTTGCAATCATCACCAGCAGAGAAGCCAARCCATAGGCCAAGCACAGCAGTAGACGTGCAGGGAAAGTGGCTTTTCTCTTCTTTCACCCTGCAAAAATAACAGTGATACCTGTAATCCACTTGCTTTGTGCCTCTTTTTTCAGCTCTCGGTGCCTCCGAGAGAGGAACGTGTATTTGCTTTTACTTATCCCAATCTTTGGCATCAGGGACAGACGCAGCCTGAGAAGAGCTTCCACAGGTATTTCTTACGCCGAGTGCAGGAACCCAGTAATAATTGCTGCCATAATTTCAGAAAGAAAGTGGTGTCCTTCAGCTTCAGAAGGGTGAAGAAGAGCAGTGATCCTTAAAGGAGCTCTGGGCTGTAACTGTATCTTTGCTCATCAAAGATGCTGCTCTTCGAAAACGACGTCTTCGACTGACGTTTGTATTCTTACAGATTTTAGGGAAATGGTAAATAAAAAGGGTCACTTATGGTGCAGCACTGGAGAGCTAAGGCTGGTGTTTCCCATTGGGTCACGACAGTGAAATGGATGTGTATTTAAAAAAAAAAAAAAAAAAAAAAAAAAAAAAAAAATTAATATTGCCAGGAAAAGGCACATTGTGTTTAGGACAAACTAAGGAACTGTACCCATAATAAAAAAGACTTGCATAAATGTGTCAGAGAATTCATTTATCTCCTTGAGCATACAGTGATATTGCAGACTTCCTCGTCTTTTGCTTTAGTAATGGCATCTTTATCCTAAGAAGAACCAAAGACCCAGTTCTCTTTACTCTGTCCCCTACAATTTGATGCTAGAAAAGCACTACAGCAACATATCCTGCTCAGTTCCTGGTGTGTCTCCGTGTTTCAGAACACCATGCTGGTAAAAGAAAATTCTGCCCGCATTTCTGCAGCCTGAGCAATTTCCATGTCCAAAATTCTTCTTGATCTTTCAGCTTGGAAATTCAGATATGCAGAATGAAATCTCGSAGTTCCCGTGCCAGATTTTGTGGTMCCCCCGKATAAAAGCTTCMTTTCCATCCCTGGWGCCACAGTGTACTCCCCTCCAGCASACCCTGAGSGYAGAAGGGCTTGGGAAGAGMTTGCAGATCAGAAGAACAGATACTTCCGAGTCACAGCGTTTTTCATGTCTGCGTGCAAAGACGGACCATCACTCCCCTCCTCTCTTTTCCAGACCCCAGGATGGATTTCCTCTTCCGCATCCATAACAATCTGGCAGCGCCCTGATTTCCCAGCTGCTCCGCGGAACTGGTGCCCAGACGTCTCAGCTGGATGCAAACGTGAGGAAAGCTGGAGGAAGCATTTCCAAACTTCTGGCTCTCGGATATATCGCAAACGCCACACGTACCTGTTCCGAGGCTCAATTTCCGAGGGGCGAACCAGCCTCCTCCCTCTCTCTGCATTCAGTCCAGTTAGTGCTTTCCCCGTTACTCTGTTTAAAGCAAACATTCATTTCTCCCGGTATTAACTCGGTGCTTACCAATCAACGGACTCTGAATCACCTACGGTGAAATCCTCCGAAATCCTGCAGGGATGGCCCTGAGAGACGGGCTCCGTCCTGAACGCTCCCTGTTTCGCCTTGTGCTCTTGGCTTCTCCAGACATTCTCGATGCGGCCATTCCCAGCACATCCTTTGGAAAGGCTTTGAAGCAGGGCGTATTCTGGTTCAACCGGGGCATTTCTGGGCTCTCAGCCGGGATCAGCCTTGCAGCATCTGACTGGGGCTCACTGGGGCTCCCCCCGCTCCCGCCCGGCCGCAGCAACGCGCGCCCAGCGCTGGCCAACAGCGCCGCTGAGCGTCCATCGAGGGAACTGCACAGGAGCCTCGGCAGGAACCTCCCCTCCCACCTTCTGGCTATTGCCAGGACTAATTCTGAAATATATTTCCCACCTGGAGTCTTTGGCAYATAAACGCTCTTCCCTGGTACTTATTGAGACATTTGGTTTGGCATTAATAATCCAGGCAAACGTGAAACGTCCGACCAAACYGTCCGTCAAATGTGCTTGACAAAGACATCGGCAAATGTGGCAAATACTGTGCACAGCTCGTGTGCTGTGCAGTACATTTTCCAGAAGTCAGACAGTAAAGGCGTTTTCAAGCACAGGCTGTTTGTGGGAGGCTAAGTTTTGAGTTTTCTATTTCAGAAGAAGATCTCCAACTGTTGTATGTCCTCTCCTAAAGTATTGCACAATTGAGAATCAATTCAGTATTAATAGCAGCAAGAACCTCTGCTGCCCCTTAGGTCAGCTGCAATAGATTTACGAAGCATATCTCAAAGATGAGCCTGCAGGTATTGCTTTGTTAACAGATCTCCCCTTGGTCCAGTGACTCCTTTACAGTTAGGATTCTAGTGTTTTAATTGAGGCAGAAATGCTGATGCTGCTCCTCAGACACAAAGGAAAACATATTTCTTCCTATTTGCAGTACTTCCTTTCTAATTACATCAGTTCATGAGGYCATCTGCTCTAAAACCTCTCTGTATACCTTCCAGTTTCAAAGAATAAAGGAAAATTCTGTGCTTCAAAAGACTGAGTTCATGTATCTTCTCAGAGACATTCTGCATTCTCCAGTTTCAAAGATAATTCTGGACAGAAGTTACCTGCCAGACTGACAGAAASCAGGTTTAGATTAGATATTAACAAGAAATTCCTCYCTGTGAGGGTGGKGAGGCCCTGGCACAGGGTGCCCAGAGGAGCTGTGGCTGTCCTGTGTCTGGAAGTGTCCAAGGCCAGGTTGGWCAAGGCTTGGAGCACCCTGAATAGTGGAAGGTGTCCTTGCCAGGAGGCTGGAGGTGATCTCAAAGGCCATTTTTAATCCAAACCAGTCTGAGATTTTATGTCTGCTTAGATCTTTTCCATCCTACATCTTTTGAATTCAACAAATTCTCTCTCTCTAGTCATGACAATCTCAGTACTTCTTGTCTGGAAATAAATCCTCTCAGCTGCAACACTTTGCTACCACAAACGCCTTTTAAAGACAATTATTCTCATCTTTGTAGACTTTGTTCTTAGTGGGATCCAATTTTTCAGTCTTCAGCCTCACTCCTTGGCCATATATGCAGAAGTTTCCTTCACAAATACCTAAATCTATGCATTTTTTTGTGTGTCCTGAGGTCTCAAATTTCCAGCAAACAGTATTTTAATTTGTAGCTATAAGCTGATGTGTTTTGTGGGGGAAGTATCTCCTACTGAGATTTTTCTCATGTTCTTCTGTTCAATGTTTTTTATTATTCCTTCTGCAGTTTTCTGCAGTGGCTGTTTTAGTTGACTCAGAGGAGACAGAT